ATGTGGCCTGCCAGGCCGTTCTGTCTGGCCTGTGGGGCCCCTAAAAAAATTAGAAAATTAATATTAATCTGCTCCTGGCTGCCTGTCAAAGATGACATGAGCCAGGGGCAGTAGGAGCCAGGGGGAGCTACCAGGAGCCAACAAAAGGCCAGCTGGGCCCCAGCTCCCAACTGGAAGCCTCTGCCTGCCCCGACTTTCACTGCTTCCCTGCACGCCTGCTCCAGCACCATGTGGCCCCAGGCTGCATCGCTGGACTATGGGAGCACAGGGCCACACCAGTATTCCAGGGCCAGGAGTGGGAGGGTATGTGTGTGTGTGCATAGGGCGAGTCCCACAAGCACACCTTGCCATACACGCAGATCCCTACCCCAACATACCCTCACACACCCCAGTCACCCCCACACACAGGCCCCCACAAACCCCATACCCACCCACACTCTACATATCCACACACACTCGCATGCTCCCTCACCCCACACCTTTCCCCCCACAAAACCCTCACACACACCCACAGCCCCCCGCAAACCTATACCCACCCACCCAAACCCCCCACAGTATACAAGAGTAAGACTTCATTTTAAGCTATTGTGCAGTCATCTCTTTGTACACTACACAAACGCACATAAATCAGGACAAAAATATTTTTTAAAATCAAATTAATGAATATTGTAGATGTTTGATTTTTAGCATATAATTTGGTATTTTTCTGGCTCTGGCAAAACCCCTTGCTGAAAGGACTACTCCTGGGGGGCAAGGAGAGGGACTTCTGGTGGCAAAGGTTGGGGGTTAAGGGGTGGGACTTCCAGTCCTAAGATGGTGACCAGGGGGCAGGGCACCTGTCAGGGGGTGGGGCTACCCATGTGGTCCTCGACAGCTTGCCAAAACTCGGTAAGCAGCCCTCCACCCGAAATAATTATCTGTCCCTGCTGTATCTGATAGAGAGGTATCAATTACAGCAGAGACCCATAGAAACTGTTGTCCTAACTTCAGATTACATTCCTGCGATAAAATATCAGTTAGTCATACTTTAATGTTACTATTAAGTAGCTTGTCCCAAGACACTATTTGTTTTCTCTTTTAGCACGAGTGGCTGTGGCTCAGAGCAGTTCACTCAATCTGTTTGCTAATCGGGATGCAGAGCTGGAACAGCGAGCAATGCTCCTAAAGAGATTGGCCTTCGCCATTTTTAGCAGCGAAGTAGACCAGTACCAGAAGTACCTTCCAGATATACAAGGTAAGTAGAAATTCATTGTTCACTATTCTTTTTAAATAAAATGGATTGTTGTTGAGAAATTTTCTTATAAAATTTGTGGTCTCTGTGGTGATGTAACGTCAGCCATCTGGCTTTGGAATCTGTGGGCCAGATTTTATTGAAATAAGCGACAAAAATCTATGAATTTCAGTGGGAGCAGTGTTAGGTCTTTAAATTATATTAACACACGTGAGCTTTCTCGTTGCCAGCTGACTTCAAGCCTGATCATGTCACAAATCTATCATCTTACCATTTTGTCAGTATCCATGGACAGGCTGGTTTGCATAGAGGATTTATATGCACACGTTTTATCTTACTCTACTTCAAGAAGGGAGGTATGCTAGGTTTAGAGAGAAATATTTTAGGTTCTAAAAATTCCTGTAGTTGTTTATTTTGCACTTCTGTCAGTCTGACTAATACCGCATGTTCTGACATATAGCATGCCCCAAAATAAAATACACACCTTTGTTTTTAAAAGCAGAATGAAGAAAAAAAATATTTTTCCAGAGTTATGGCTGCAGAGCTGATGCATGCTTCCTTTTCTACTTAACTAAAAGTTAAAACTTTAACTGCTCCTGAAGACTGTACTCCATAAGTGGATCTATGATTTTGAAAAGAGGTAGTCTCTCCAGGGCTGTCAAATAGGAGGAGAGAGACCAGGAGCAGCTAGCAGACAACAAAATTACCCTAAAAAAGGTTACCTTGATTAGTGGAAAATCAAGACTATTATAAAGAGAAATTATAGTTAACATTTTTTGCCACAGTGAATGACGAGAAGTCATTAAGTCAATTGGCACCCTCAATTGACACAAGGCTAGTACTGCTGCACTGAGGAGTAGAAATCAAAGCAAAGTGTTTCTCTTTTGGGCAGAAAACAACCTCCCCACTTCAAACATGCATCCATTTTGGGGGTGCTGACTTCTGGGGAAAATGTGTGTGAAGTATGCAAGTAAATGTAATTGTTA